CAGGCTGGGGGGTTGTGGCCGGGGCGCCGTCGCCCTTCCTGACCACTTCCCGGCTTTCAGGGCCCGCTCCGGCGCCTGCGGGCCCCCACGGCCTCGTGCGGGGGGCCAGCCCGGCAGCCCCACGCCACCTCCCCTCCGCGCACACCGAGGGGCCGAGCCCCGCCCTGCCTGCTGAAAGAGGCCGCCCGCCCAGGGTGCCCGCGTTGCTCCAGACGGCCGCTCAGGGCCCGCCCGGCCCCTGGTGACGGCCGCCCGCCCCGGGGCTCGCCTTGCCCAGGTGTTTACCAGATGGAGGGGCGGGGCCTGTTGGTAGTGACTGGGTGTGCGCTGGGGCCCGCTCAGGAGCCCCCCCAGCTCCCAAGAGGCAGGCGAGCCCCCCCGAGAGACCCGCCGGCCCGGCGTGGGGGCTGCAGGCGGACGCCGGGTGGGGGCACAGACCCGCCCCAGGACCGGGGTGTCAGGGCCGCCCGTGCGCGTGCCCGTGCCCGCGGGCCCCACGGGGCCTTCGGCGAACGCCGCCCGTGAGCTGTCTCGGTATCGCCGTCCCAGGTCCAGCAGGACACCCCCACACCCTGACAGCCACCGCGGCGGCCACCACTCTCACCCTTGACCGTCACGGGCCGGGCAGGGACCAGGCGCTCCGCCAGGGGCTCTCGTCCACTCCCCAAGGCCCAGCCTGCAGACGGGGAGGTGGAGGCAGGGGCCTGGGCAGAGCACGCGGCCAGGCTCCAGGCTCCACCCAAGGGGTCTGCCCCCAGGCCCCCCGGGCACCCGTCCAACTCACTCCATCCCCAGGGCCCGCACCCCCACCGCCAGGCCACACAGCGCTGTCTCTGGCTAACAAGGGGGCTCGTGGAATTAGGTTCAGCCGCCAGCATGTCCTCATCGCCAAGTCCACAGGAAACCCCGACCGCAGACCTGGCCACGCAGGACCGGCACTGTCCTCCCGGCAACGCCAGCCCCCCGCAGCCAGCGCCCTCAGGGCCCAGCGCCCGGAGCCGGAAGCAGCTGTGGCCATGGCGGGTGGCCCCTCTGCTCTCTGGTGGCGCTCACCCCCCTCCTCGGCGGGCGATCACGCAGGGACAGAGGCGGCCCAGGACCCGCCCAGCCCAACTCAGGGCGTCCTCGCTGCGGAAGCGGTTGCCAGCGCTCTGCCCTCCCCCCACCCTCCCCTACTAAGCACCTTAGCCAATATGCCCAGGGCAGAAAGGCCAAGAAAGGCGTGGCTCAGGGGAGTGGGCTTGTCCCGCAGCCAGGAGGTTGCTGGTTCAACGGCCAGTTGGGGAACACACCTGGGTTTCGGGCCAGGTCCCTGGCTGGGGGCCACAAGAGGCGACCAGTCAATGTCTCTCTTTCTCCCTCTTTCCCCCTCTAATTTAAAAAAAAAAAAAAAAAAAAAAAAGGCTGGGCTGCACCCCCCACCTGTCCTTAGCTTGTGCCCGGTCACGTGTGCGCACCAGGACCTGGCCCAGACACGTGCACTGCCCCGCAGGCCGCGTGGGTTCCGGACGGGGCGGGGGACACACACACAGCCAGAGTCCCCTCCCAGTGCCGGGGCCCAAGGGACAGGACGGAAGCCCCCGCGGGAGGGCAGGGAGGGCAAGCCACGACCCCAGGCCCACGCCACGTGGCTGCCCCCCGCAGCTCAGTGGGACGGACCAAACGAGAGCAAAGTCCGGGCGCACAGAAGATCACTGGTCAGAATAAACCGCTTCGCGAACGACACATTCATCTGCTCAATTACAAACGCTGATACTGTTGTAAAAATAATGGCACGGCACTTTTTATTTTCTTTAATCAGAAAAATAAGCCCCGTGTTTCTGGGAGGTCCTGGGTGAGGACCAGGTTATCAGGCTGCAGAATGGACCCCACACCCGACCGGTCAGACTGCCCCAGGGCCGGGGTCTTCAGGAGCAAGTGGGCACTGCCGAGGGCAGGCGGGCTCTGGAAGGGGCCGGCGTGCCAGGAGACACTGGTGCAGCGGCTGAACGGGGCAGCCCGGCGGCCCGGCTACGCTCCAGAAGCGGCCGCAGCCCCTCCCAGGGCCCTCAGGATCTGGCGAGTCCAAGCGGAGCTCCCGTCTCTCGCCCAGGGCTCTGGGTGCAGGCCTGCCCTGTGCAGGGCGTCCGGGGCAGGAGCCGGGCAGGGCGGCAGGGAAGCCTGTAGTGTGAGGTCTGTCCCAACGGGGACGTCCCGGGGACTGCGGGGGCCGGTGGGGAGGCTGCAGAGGCCCCGGCCCTGCGGCTCCAGGGGTGGAGCTGGGGGCAGGGCCTGGCGGGCTCCAGTGCTTGGCTACCGGGCAGAGGAGTCCTGGGAAAGACGCTCTGCGCCACCAGGAGCTTCCGCTCGACCACGAGAGGCCTGAGCGCCCCCCGCCCCCCACTGCCACCAGACCCCGGAGGCAGAGGCCTGCGGGCAGGATGCGAGGCGGCTCCTGCGGGGCCCTGGCTCTGCCTGGGGGCAAGGAATGCTCCCTGGCCGGGGGGCGGGGCCGCGGAGGCGCTCGCGGCTCGCACCCCACGCACACGTGTGCATTCGCACTGCACCCGCACACACATCCACTTGCACACCTGGGGCCAGTGTGCAGAGATGCCAACGTCCAAGGACACGTGGCACTTCAGAGGCACAAAGAGACAGAGGGACCCCCAGCAGCCCCTCTCCCTGGGGTGTGAGCGTCACAAAGTGGGCACAGGGGAGCCGAGCAGACGTGGCGGGAGGCGGGAGACATGGGGGTCCTCTCCTCTCTTCCTGGTGCAGGCAGGCCTTGGGCTGCTGGCGGCCCAGCAGGGGCCCCGGGCTCTGCTGAACCTCAGCTTCCAAGCGCACACAGCCTGTCCTGCCTGGAGAAGACCTCCAACCAGTCCGGCCACACAGCTCAGGCCGCAGGGCGAGGCGGCCCAGCCCGACCCGCCGCGTGCAGCCCCAGGCGGGCGGTCTGACAGCAGGCCTCAGGCTCCCGGGCTCACATAAGGGGCCTGGCGGGCTGCCGAGGGGGTGGAGGATCGAGTCCGTCGTGACCTCAGAGGCCAGCAGGGATGGCCCAGGCCTGGGAGTGAAGGCTGGGGCTGGTGGCCCTGAACCAGGTCCAGGAGGGACTGCCGCCGCGGCTGGCTCAGGGGCCCCAGGAGCGGCCGGCGGGGTGGGGCTGGCCGTCCCAGAAGCGATGGGCGCTTGGGGATGGGGAGCAAAGGCTGGGGCTTGCAGGGCGGGCTGGGGCCCAGAAGTGACTGTGGGGGTTGGCAGGGCTGTTTGGGGCGTGGGAGGGGCCGCTTTCGCCGGCAGTTCTGGTCTGGGCCCAGGAGGGGTCGCTTGGGTGGGTGTGGCTGGTCTGGGCCCAGGAGCGGCTGCTTCTGCTGGCGTGGCTGTGTGGAACTCAGCAGTGAAGGTTTGGGGGCGCCACGCTGCTCTGGGGCCTCCACTAATTGCTGGGGCTGACGGAGGCCCAGCAGTGACCGCCGGGGGTGACTGGGTTGACCCAGGAGGGACCTTCGGGGCTGGCACGGGGCCAGGGGCGCCTGCTGGGGGCAGCAGCAGTGGCCTGAGAGGCAGGTGCCGGGCTGGCGGTGGGGACACAGCATGAGGAGCGACTGCGGGGGCTGGCAGCGTGGGCAGCGGGCCAGCAGGGAGCGCAGGGGCCCACGCCGCTGTCCGGAGGACGCCCTGCGGGGCTGCCTGTGCAGACACGGGCCCACGCAGGCCCACGCGGGCCAGCAGTGGTGCCAGAGGGCCAGCAGGGAGCGCAGGGGGCGGCAGAGGGGGCAGGCGGCCGGCAGGGAGCGCGGGGGGCGGCAGCGGGGGCAGGGGGCCGGGAGGGAGCGCGGGGGGCGGCAGTGCTGCCGGGGGCCTAGGAGCGTCCACCGTGGCCTGTAGGGCTGAGCCAGGAGGGACCGCTGGGGCCGGCTGTGCTGATCTGGGGCTGGAAGCAGCCGCTGGGGCCGACTGGGCTGACCCGGGCCCAGGAGTGACCGCCGGGGCCGACTGGGCTGACCCGGGCCCAGGAGTGACCGCCGGGGCGCGCTGCGCTGACCCGCGAGTGGCTGCTGGGGCTGGCAGGGCTGCCCGGGGTCCGGGCCCGCCCGGCTGGGCTGGCAGCGCTGGCACGGGGCAGGGAGTGGCCCCTGGGGCCGGCTGGGCTCGAGCTGCTGCGGGCGCTGGGCCGGGCCGGTCTGGTCCCAGGGGTTGGCTGGGAGCGGCCCCCCTTCTGGGGAGCACACCTGCATGGAAGAGAGAGCACGTGTCCACCTGGGCCAGTGTGCCTGCAGACCCCCCGTCCAGCCCGGCCCAGACATGCGGCCCCGCACCAGCAGCCCCGTCCCCAGGGGAGCCGAGGGGAGTGCGACACAGGGAGAAGCCCCTCCCTGAGAGAAGGCGCGAACCAGCAAGTCCCACAGAGGAGCACGGCCGCCGCCGCGCCCAGCACGGAGCCCTGCTGCGCTCTGCGGGGAAGCCCTGGCCAGCTGGGCACCAGCGAGGGCGCCCCTCCCCCCGCCGAGGGCCCACCCGAAGCTGTGCGCCCCCAGGCGGGGCAGGGCCGCTCCGTGTGCTCAGACCACCCCCATCCCCCAGCCCCCGCACTGCGCTTCCTTCAGCAGACAGAACCAGCAACGAGCCTGCGCCCCGCGCGGTACAGACACCCTGGACACCCCACGGCTGGCGGAGCCTGACGGACGCGATGGGGAGGCGGGGCCGGCCTGGCGGCGGTGCACCCTCGGGCCTTGCCGAGCACGTCCCCGTCCCCACCCCCACTCCCGGCCCCCAGCCTGACGGCCTCGCTCTGGTTGGGACCTCCCTGGGCAGGTCTCCGGCCTCTGCCCAGGACCTGGGCGCCCGGCCCGGACCCGTCCACATGTGCCCCACACGCCTGGCCCGACAACGATGGGATGCGTTGCCAGGCAGGCCCAGGTGCCGACGGGTGGTGTCCAGGTGTTGGTGTGCCCCTGGGGCGCCGGGGGAAGGGGGCGCAGAGCCCCGGGTTCCGGGGGGCGGGGCCCAGCACGCACCTGCTTGGCGGGCTGCAGCGGGACCTTCTTTCCCTGGTCGCAGGTGGGCTCCAGGTCCTGCTCGGGGCTGCCCGCCTCCAGGGGCCGGCCGTTCTCACTCGGCTCTGCAGACGGGCAGGCCTCTGCCTCTCGGGGCTTCTTGACAAGGCGGCGTTCCCACTTCTCCTTCCGCTCGTGCGGCTTCAGGGCCATGTCCTTCTGCAGGGGAGGCGGGACAGAGCCGGTTAAGGGACGGTGCCACACGGCTCCGCACGTCACCCCGCCAGTGACACGCCTGGCATCCTGGGCCTGCGACAGCACCCACCCAGGGGGCCCGGGCCAAGCCTGAGGGGCTGTCAGGCGGGGCCCCACCCAGGCAGGAGCACCGCCCCTGCCCTGAGCGGGGAGGGGCCACACGGGAGGGGGAAGGGGCAGACGGATGGACGGGCCAGGTCAGCGTGGTGGGCCTGCGGGGCTGGGGCTCGGAGCGACGCTGAACAAAACTGGCGAGGGGGAGGCGCGCGGCTCCCCAGGGAGCCCAGCTGGTAGCGGCTGGGCCCTGCTCCTGGCCCAGCACAGAGCCCTACCCAAGCTCTGCAGGAAGCCGGTGCCGAGACTGACCTCTGCTCAGGCCCTGGTGAGGCAGGCCCTTCCTGGGGTGCCCCCTGGATTCCTGAGGGGAGAGCCGCCCCCGCATAGCTGACCACAGGCAGGGATGGTCCCTGGTCCTGACCCACGTGCATGGGTTTATCCCCAACTGCAGGCAGCCTGGCAGCCTGCGGCTGCGGAGGCCTAGCCTGAGAAAGGGGCCGTCTGGCCAGGCGCGCAGGCCTGTGGGGACCCCGGGCCCTTCCCCAGAGCCGGAGCCGGGCCTGGAGCACAGCAGGTGTTTCAGAAGCACGTGGGCACCAGCGCTGACAACGCAGCACGGCCCCCGTGCGCCCCCAAGCATGGCTCTTGTGCAGAGGTGGTCCTGGCCCACCCGCCTGCACACCTTGCACAGAGCCCAGAGCCGGCAGAGCCTCGTGTCTACCAGTGACGCGCAGATGAGGTGCCACCACTGGTCTCTTGCTTGGGTCCGCGGGGACGGGGGGGAGGGGGACATCAGCCCCTGGGCTGCAGAAGGGGGGGAAGCCTAAAGGGCGGCGGCGACACACCCACCCACAGCCGAGCTGCGGTGCATCTAGGTGACTCCCTCCCACCCCACAGAAAGTGTCCCCCGTGGGACCCTCCCACCTCCACAGGAAGGGTTTCCTGAGGGCCTGAGAGGACCTGGCCGATGCAGCCCACAGCGACGGTGGCGGCCTCCCCCGGAGCCGGCCTCCGCCCCTAAGCGGGCGCCTGGCTGGGGTCTCAGAACCCTCGGCCCACCCGGTGGGAGGACAGAGCGATGCCCAGTCTGTCCTGGCCCAGGCTTGGAGGCGGGGGCGGGGATGCGCTGCGCTTGCTGACAGCGGTCCTCCAACCCAGTTCCAGCGGCTGCCTCCACACCCCCCCACCCCCCTTCTGCTTTCAGAGGGGCCCCCACAGGGCTGCTCGGACTGATGTCCCAGGCCAAGGACCCCCCCAATGACTGCCCGGCACCGTGTGACCCCAGCCTGGCTGGGAGCAACCACACACAACTGCAGTATGACTGAGCCCCCGCCAAGTGGCTGCGCGTGGGGTCCGGCAAACCCTCCCCCGCAGGAGGGATGCTCTGTGCTCCCAGGGTTTTCCCAGCAGCCCGAGAAGGGGCACAAGCCACGGTCACAGAGACCAGGGCCTCACGACAGGGCTGGGGCGCCCCCACCACCTCTCAGCGGGGATGGGAGCCCCCCTGCCCCTCGGCCGCATCAAGGGCTGGCAGGCACACCCTCCAGTGTGGGGGCTCATCCATATCCCTGCCCCCTCCACACGCCCTCCAAGGGTCAGCAGGAGGAGAGGGAAGAGCGCGGGCCAGCCGGACAGGGGTCCTGAGGGCTGGTGCCCCGCGAGGCACAGGCGAGGACCTGATCTGACCCGCCGGTGAGGCTGGAGACCCTCCTGCATGGGGGCTGTGGCCCCGGCCTGGAACTCGGATCCCAAGGGACGACCCATCTGGCCCACGCCTCCCGGCTCTGCACAAAGCCACGCCGGCTCCTGCCCGAGCAGCGGGGGCCCCCCCGCTTCCCGTGTACAGGGCACGCCTCCCCACGCTCAGCGGGCACCCTGCCCCACCCGCACCCGCCACACTGGAAGCAGCTCCGGCTGTGCACCCCCACCCGGCCCCGGCGACCAACTCGAAGGGAGTGGCCCGCCAGGCGCCCACACACACAAGAGCAGGGCCCGTGGGGACGTGGAGGGACGGGCCCCTTCAGGCCGCTGGGTGCACCCCGGTGGCCGGGGCCCCTGTGAGCAGAGGCTGAGGCGGGAGGAGCTCCAGGCCCCCCGGCCACATCCCCGGAGGGGCTGCCGTGAGCGCCCAGGGACGGCAAAGCCTCGCGGTTCTCCCCGTCTTCCCTGGGCCACGCTGTCCCGACCTGACCCAGGACACACACATCCCCGGGTCCCCTTGGGGTCAGCCTCGCCTCATGCTGAGAGAAGAGCAGGAGCCTCTAGAGGGGGTAAAACCACAGGCCCGTTCCTAGCCCAGGGCGACCTCTGGCCTGAGCCCAGAATGAGGGTGGGGCTGTCCCTGGAGCACCGGTCGGGGGGAGAGCCCAGGACCACGTGTGCGAGCACCTCAGGCACCGGGCCGGGCCGGGCGCCTCGCTAACAAGCCCTCGTGGAAAAGGAACGAGCCCAGACGCACGCCCGGCAGCCCTGGAAGGGCCTCAGGCAGCCCCAGCCCAGCCCACTGTGCTGAGAGGATGCACCTGCCAGCCACCATCGGTCAAATTCAAAAACAACCAGGTAGTCAGAACGCTCAAGACATCAGGGCCTGGATCTCTGGTCTAGACTCCGTCCTGCTGTGTCCTGGCCACAGCCGGACACCTGTGCTCTGCAGGCCGGGGCCGAAGGCCAGAGCAGCAGGGGAGGCCCCGGGGCAGGAGCCCCGACACAGGGCAAGAGCCAGGGTGGGGGGTGCTGCCAGCCCCAGGGCGCAGCAGAGGGTGACAGGGCAACACGGGCCTGTGCCCACGCCCCTCCACACTGGCATCCCTGTGGCTCACTCCCCCTAACCTGGGGGTCTGGGCTCAAACTTCCCCACCGACGGCGGCCCCGAGCCCTGGCCCACCTTCCAAGGTCTGCCCCCGGGGCCCAGCTCCCCATGGCTCTCCCCCAGGAGGGCACCCCTCACCCCTCCGCGCCCGCTTGTGGGACTGAGAGGGTTCCCAGGACAGGAACCGGGAGTGATAACCTCAGGAGTCCCTCCCCGCCCTGGAAGCCGGGACAGGGAGCCTCCACTCCTGGGCGCTGACACCTGTGCCCCGTGCGGCCCCCAACGGCACTGCGGGGACAGAGCCGCTTGTGCCCACACCTGGCCGTGCTCCCGCCCTCTACCCACCCCCGGGGCAGGTCTGGGGCACACGGACGGCCCGGGCTTCTGCCTCAGGGGCCCTCGCACTGGCACGTGGCCGTCACACCGCCCTGAGGGGGCGTCTCCGAGGAGGCCGCGCTGACACCGCGGCTGCCCAGGAGGCTTCCGGATCCGTCTCCCGCTGGCTCGCCGCACTCCTGCGCAGTGACCGACCCCTCACCGTGACCCTGCGCTGACCGCCCAGGCCACCCCCGACCCACACTCAGCTGGGATGTAATGTTCCCGCCGCTGTCCTGACAGGTTTTGAAGTCGGCCTCTGCCCCTCCCAACCTCTCGCCCCTGACGCCTGGCCCCGCGGCTCAGCCCCCTGCCGTCCAGACTGCGAGTCCCTTGCTCCCCTCTGTCCGGGCCCTGCACAGCTGCCACTCCGCTGCCACAGGCAGAGGGGCTGCCGGGGGTACTGGCCTGGCCTGCCCTGCTCGCCAGAGGGGCTGCCCCGGGGGGGAGACAAAGTGGGAGAAGCGACAGGCCAGCTCAGAGGGGGGCGGCCGCGGCAGACGCCTCACCCAGAGCAGGCAGGGCTGCGGGCGGGGGGAGACGGCAGGGCCGCCTCGCTGGCTGCGTGGCCTCCCTGCGCGCGTGGCGCTGAGTCCTGGGTCAGCGAGCAGCCCTGAGGCCCCCCCCAGGGCCAGGCGCGCCCTCCCGCCCACAGGGCCTCGCCCAGACAGATGTGCCCCTCCCCCCCGTGGCCCGGGACCCCGGGGGCACGGCCGGGTCGGTGTGCAGCTCTGCACCCACCACCGGTGCAGGGCCCAGGGGGCAGTGCCCGCCCAACCGTGGCTCCGAGAAGGAAGCAGAACCAAGGCCGACGAGGCAGCTCAGCAGCCCAGGGTCCGAGCCGGTGGCCTGCGGGGCTGCCAGTCCGGCCTCCACTTTCTGCCAGAGGGTCCCGCCCCACATACACACATGCATGCCCCCCACACAAGCACACACATGCACACACCCGTGCGCACGCTGACCGCTCGCCAGGCCTGCTCCGTCTCCTCCTGAGCCCCCACTGCGGTCCTGACAGCTGCTTCCTCTTCTGGGACCTGACAGTCGAGCGACCCGTCTGCCTCCTCTGCCTAAACGAGCCGCACAGAGGCACTGGCCCACTCCCGCTCAGTAAACACTCAGGGGGTCGGGGGGAGAACAGAGCACGCCCGCCGGCGGTCCCTCCACATGAGCACGGCCTGCCCCATGGCCACCAACGCACAGGCCCCAGCAGGTGGGTGGCAGAACCGTCTGGGGAGAGGCGGAGCCACGGGCCCAGTGGGGCAGGCTCCGCTCCGCTGGCCCTGCGCTTTCCTTCCTCAGCACCCTCAGCACCCGCGTCCCCGCTGTGCAGAGAGCTGACTGGGGTCTCTAACTGGGCCCAGCAAGGGGGGCTGCACGCAGGCCCGGAGCTCTGTCCCAGTGTGGAGAGGGGTCGACGGCTCCCCTGCCCCCGACCGCTCCAGGGCACAGGCAGAGACGCGGCACAACCAGCCACCGCGCGACAGCCGCCGACCAGCTTCACTTAGGAACATGGTGCCCAGGCCTTGCTTCGGTACCAGCCAGGCAGCCCGGAGCGAAGCTGCAGCACAGCTGGTCGGGCTGGTTCCGGGAGCCGGGGACAGCGATGTCACCCCGCTTGTGAGGCCAGCCCAGCCGCCTCCTGGGCAGGACAGTGTCCCAAGAAGAGAGGCACACCAGGTAGAGGGGAGCAGCAGAGGCTCACGGGAGGGGCGGGCATCCACACAGGGGCCACAGGACACAAGGGGAGGGGCGGGCGACGCCAACTCTGGGCAGGTGCCTGGGGCGGCCCCACCCGCCGCCCGGGTCCAACCGGGAGGGGCAGCCGCCAGCCAGGGAACAGGAACGCGAGGTGGCGCGGGCCGGTGAGTGGCCAGGCCCTCAGCGGGGACAGCCCAGGCACCGCCGCTCAGAAGGGTGACCACCTCCCCACTCACCGACACCCTGAGAAAACGGCACACGGGTGCCCAGGTCTGGGAGCTTCTGTCAGAAACCAGCACATCAGCACCCGCAGAACCGGGCGCGGGGGCTGCACGCGTCCCGCCCGGGCACGGGGTGAGTCTGACCCCTGCCTGTGGGAGACGGGAGAGCGAGTCGCCCTGGCCCTAGGGAGAGAGCCTTCTGCGCAGAGAGCAGAGCAGATGGCAGGGGCTGACGTGCACCCGCACGTGTGCCCGTGGGCCTCTACGGGGCAGGCGTGGCTGGAGCTGCAGGGGCCACAGGGGGAGGGCGGGGCGGGCACGGAGGGGCCGGGACTGAGTACAGTCACTGAATGGGAAGCTCCTGAATGGGAAGCTCCGAGAGGGAGGGACACGGGCAGGGCCGCTCAGTGAGCTCCGCAGGAGTGGCCGCGGCCACCCTACTCTATGCAGCTGGCCCACGGCGCGGGTAGAGCAGGTGAGGCCTTCCCGGGGGCTCCGGAGAGTGCTCTGCGGAGTGTGGCCGAGGGACAAGGTGTAAGCCTTCTCCCTGGGCCCTGGGCAGCCACAGGGTCAGCGAGGGCTGGACAGGTCAGGGCCAGGAGTACAGAAGGGGATACAAGGAAGTCAGAGGCTGGGCGAGGGGTGCTGGGGCCCACTCAGGCTCCACTGGGGTTTACCCACACGCCCAAGCAGGGCCCCACACTCATGCACACACACAGCACACGCGCACACATGCAGGCTGCAGACCTCCCACTCCACTCAGAAACCAGGAGCAGCGGCAGAGGGAAGGTGAACTGCACCCACGGGAACCCCGCTTTCCAGGGCCTGGCACTGCCCTGCAGGCACTTGGCAGAGGGAGGGAGGTGGGGAGACGGCCGGCTTGGGCCCCTCCCCGACCATCAGGTGCTGGGCAGTGTGGGAGGAGCCAGTGGGGAAACTGAGGCCTGGACGCCACAGTGCTAAAGCACACGACACCCAGCCACGCTGACGCAGAGGGGCGGGCTGGGGGGGCAAAGCCCTGGGCGGACGATCAGCCAGCAGGCAGACTCAGGGCCCGCGCACCTCCAGGACCTGCCATGGCCCCGTGGGGTGCCACACCCCGCGAGTGTTCCCCCAGCAGTCCCACCACCCACGGCGGACGGAGGTGACTGGGGGACACCGCAGGTGCCCCGAGCTTGCATGGCTGTGGGCTCTGCAGACCGCCGTGGGTGCCCGCGGCGCTCAGAGGGGCAGCCCCTTCCGAGGTGCCAGGCAGCGGGCCTGGGTGCACGGGCACCTGCTGCCGTGTCTGCGCGAGCAGGACCCCGCACGCCGCTCAGCTCACACGCCTCCCAAGGCGCGTCGGGAGGTGCAGCGCGTGCGCTTGAAAAGCTCAGAGCTCGTGGTCCCGACTCCCACCCTGGGCCTCCCTTGCTCGCCCGAGTGTGTGGCCACGCCCTCAGGACCCCGTTCAAGATGCTCCAACCAGACCGCGGACCCACAACACTGGAGGCGGTGACTGTGTGGGGACCCCAGCCACGGTCCCACCCACAGTTAGTGAAACTGCTGCTGCCCGGGCGAGGGGCGGGGGGGCAACACCTGCAGGGACCACGCAAGCCACGCGATGTTCTTGCTTTCTCCCGCGGGGGTGCCCCGTGGAGGAGCACCCCTGCAGCTGTGGGCCGTCTGGGGGGAGGGAGCAGCCCACCGCTGTCCTAGGAGGGTCCCAGGCTGGGTACCACACCCCGCCTGGGACCACAGAGGGCCTGCCCTCTCTGGGCCTCAGTCTCCCCATCTGAAGAGCAGGAGAAAGCCTGGGGGAGACGCTTTAGCGCAGAGGCTCCTCCATGACCGGCTTTCCTCGCTGAGCCCGACGCCCCGCATGGTCTCAGCCTCTGTTGAGGAGGGGGCTGAGTCCATGGCCCGGGATCAAGGCCCCCACAGGCAGGACTGATAGCGTGGGAGCTTCCCTGCACTGGCCGTCCGTCCGAACCTCAGCTCCCCACACGCCCAGCCCTGTGTCCCCTGAGGCCTCAGGCACCCTGACTCAGGCCACACCCGGGGGACCCATCCTCAGCCCGTGACAATGCGGACAGCCTGCTGTGCCTGCAGGCCTGAGCAGAAGTGGCTGTGATCCCCTCAGCCACCCAGGGACAGGGACTCACCCTCCCTTAGGGGCAGTCACAGGTGCATGTGGTTGGGGGCACAGGAACCTGTCTTGGGCACAGGGTGGGGAGGAAGGGATGTGTGCCCAGGACACAGAAGGGCAGGGTGTCTGCCTGGGGCAGAGGGATAGGGAATCCGCTCGGGCTGCAGGGCTGCAGGGCCTGGACTCATGGCGCTGGGCCTCAGTGTGCCCACCTGTGCAGGGGAACAAGAACAGTCCCAGCCAGAGCACACATTCGCTCGCTGCACGCTAGCTGTCCCCATGACTGTCTGGGGGAACCAACACACTTTAGCAGAAAACGGGGCGGCACCGGAGGGCCAGTCCCGAGGTTATGACGCACACGGAATCTCTGTACTTTCCACGGCAGGTGGGCCCCTCCTTGCTCAGAAGGGCAGAGAAAGGCGCATGGAGCGGCCTGGGGCGCCATAGGTCACTGAGCACGGACAGGCTCAGCTCACGGGGACCCAGCTGAGAACGCTCGGAGCCCAGAGAGCTCCCTGCACCCAAGGCTGCGCACTCAGGGCCCCAGAGGCAGGGGCACAGCCAGAGCCTCTGCGGGCACCGCCGGGACCCCACAGGCTCAGGCCACGCCAGCTGACCTCAGGGCCCGTCTTCCTGAAACCTCGGCCTCCCCTCTCACTCGTCTGCTCGTTGGCTCCCCAGATGGGCTCAGGGCACTGGGGCCCCACAGCGGGCACAGCAGACAGAGGTGGTGGCACCTGGCCACTTCTGGCTCACAGGTCTGGTGTGGACAGCCACCAATGGAGAGCAAGCAGGTCAGAGGCGGCTTCAGAGAGAGGGCGACTGGTGGGAAGGAGGGTGTGTGATGTGCCACAGGGAGGGGGCGGGGGGAGGAAGGCTGCCTGCTGCTTCAGAGAGTCACCAGGAGGGCCCCCGCGAGGAACATTCGCTCCAGGACCTGAAGTTGCCAAATGACGACAAGGCAGAGACCAAGGCAGAGACCGAGGCAGGAGCCGAAAGGGGCTGGCCATGCTGGTGGAGACACCAGTGCGGGGAGAGGCTGCCTGGAAAGGGGGTGGTGTAAAGCTCAGCCCCAGGGCCGCCTCTTCCAGCACAGAGCCGCGGCCCTGCCACCAGACCACACCAAAGCGCCCCAGCCCAGGGCCCCGTGGCCCCGGCGCCATCTCAGGCCCTGCAGATGCTTAAGACAGGATCCCGGGGCGGTGGGCTGTGCACCAGCTCCAAGACAGGCGCCCCACCTGTGTGCATCCCCTGCCAGGACAGAAAGCTGCAAACCTGCCTCTGAGCCACCTCTGCCTGGCTGCCAGCGCCTGACCCCGCGCTCTCCACAGGCCCGGCGGGTCCCAGGGAGAGGGCTCCCTGCAGGGACCTGCGGTGTGGGCACTTCCCCTACCCCAAAGCTCAGACTCTGAGACTGTGCGAACCATAGGCCGTTGGCCTCCACACCCCAGGAAAAGGAAGGGGGCTGTTACTGAGTGACCTCTAGGACCCCGAGCCCCGCAGAGGCTGGCTCCTCAAAATAAGTGCTACAGTGGGTCCCCGGGGGGAGGCTCCCTGGCCAGCAGCTCCACTCCACGCCGAGTCCTGCAAGTCCTCCGAGACGGCGGCTTCCCTCACACGCCCCTTGCCAACTCTGACAGTATTCATTTCCCTCTCCCCTCACCTGGACCCAGGCAAGCAGGGCCTATTTGCTCAGCAAATATTGTCCATGATAAGTCAGCCAGACAAGCACTATTTGTTGTCATCCTATTAACCATGCTGCAAGTAGCAGTCTAAACAGAAATCCCAAGGGAAGGAGACGGAACAGGAAGGACCTCAATGTATCTGTTTTACCACGGCCTCCACAAGTCCAGCGGCGCACACCTCCCTAGCACATCCTGAACCCAATAAACCGATACTTTGGCAACACGAACACAATTGGGAAAAGACTGTGCAGCCGCGGCCCCCGTTTGAACAGTGTAACTTAGAGATTTTTCTCGCCCGCAGCTCGATGCAAACACCCCAGCACCGGCTGCAGGCTGCGGAGACCTCCAGGAGCGGCCGGCCAGGCGCACGGGGGCCCACGCGGCTGAGCCCAATAAACTGATACTTTGGCAACACAAACACAATTGGGAAAAGACTGTGCAGCCGCGGCCCCCGTTTGAACAGTGTTAACTTAAAGAGATTTTTCTCGCCGGCAGCTCGATGCAAACACCCCTGCACGCGCTGCAGGCTGCGGAGACCTCCGGGAGCGGCCGGCCAGGCGCTCGGGGGCCCACGCGGCTGGGAGCTCAAAGGGGTGTGTGTGACGACGCCCAAGGGCTGGCGCTTCCAGGGGTGCCCCGCCCGGCCGCCCCACCTACCTCCAAGGCCTCCAGCGTGCTGAAGCTGGCGATGGCGAAGCCGTCGATGACCTCCTCCTCCTGCGAGCTGGACTCGCGGCGGCGGCGGCGCGGGGGGCGCGCGGCGGCGGCGGCGCGGGGCGGGGGCGCGCGGGGCAGGCCGGCGTTCTCCTTGCCGGGCCCGGGCTCAGGCTCGTCGCCCGACGAGGCGCTCTGGTCGCGGACGTCGCGGGCCGCCTCTCGGCGCCGGCCGCGGTCCCGCTGCGCGCGCGAGCGCCGGCTCTGGCGGACCTTGGCCTCCATGGCGCGCGGTGACCTTGCGGCCGCGCCGTCGGGTTCCCGCTGCCGCTGCGCTACGCGTGGCCGCCGGGCTCGGTGCGGGCCGCGCGGGCTCGGGCCCTGGGCGGCGGCGGGCGGCGGGCCGGGCCGGGCATACCGCGCGGGGAGCCCTCAAACCCGGGCCCGGCGCGGCCTGGGAGCCCCGGCGCGGGCAGCCGCGCTCATCGGCGGGGCGGCCAGCGCTCAGCGGCTCCAGGCCGCCTCCCCAGGAGCGCGTCCCATGTGCGGCGGGAGGCGGGCGGTGAGCCGGGTGGGCGGTCGGGGCGCAGACAGGGCTGAGGCGCCTGGGATCTTGAGGCGGCGACGGCAGCGACGGGAACCAAAGCAGATAACAACTGACGTACTTCCGCCCGGCAGCCAGCGCCAGAGGAAGTAAGCGCTCCGGCAGAGACCTGCGCGAGCCCCGCCCCGGCCACGCCCCTCCCGGCCACGCCCAGGGCGCGCTCCGCTCCGCCGGCCTCGCCCCGCCCCGGCCCCGCCCCGGCCCCGCCCACGCACCGCCGGCTGCTCCAGTTCGCCCCGCCTCGGGCTGGCGAGGCCCCACCCCTTCAGGCCCGGGCACGCCCGCTCTCCGCTCAGCCAAGCCCCTCCCCCTTCCCGTAAGCCCCGCCTCTTTGGGCGGGAGCTGGGACGCCGCGCCCCCTCAGAGCAGAGGTCTGGGGGCGGGGGGAGGCGGGGGAGGCGGGGTAAAGGGGTCTCACTCCGGAAGGATGTTTACTCGAGAGCACGTGAGTGCAAAAGCGGCGGCCTCTGCAGCCAAATCAGCCACGTGGGCGCACAGTCACGCTCCCTGTTACCCTCGAGCTGCGTCCCAGCCGGATGTCAAGGATGGGGCGTCCTCGTCCCCACTCCTGATCCTGGGGCGCGTTCTCCCAGACCCTAGAAACCCCGCGTGTCAGGGTTGGGGGCTCTGGGAAGGCTGGGTGAGGGCTCCATGCTCCAGTTCCCGCCACCGCCCGCCACCCCCGTCCAGGCTGTCTCCGCCTACCCCCTGCCCTTCTCCCCAGGGGTCTCCCTGCAGGCGGATCGCTGCCCCTGCCCTGCAGGGCTCTGCACGCTTTCCCTGCCCGCTGGTTGGGCCCCCTGGTGTTCAAGTCAGGTGGGGGGTCCGACAGTGGCTCCCCCTCCTCGGTCCCAGCACCTGGTTCCCAGGTTGTGGCAGGTCTACCAAAGCCAGAGCCCGGCTGTGTGGGAACCTCCTTGCCCTTCCAGATGGGACGCCCCACGGATGAGGCCCGGCTGCCTGGTTAGCACAGAGACAGCAGTTGGGGTGCAGGGGCTGCTCCGCATCCCCACGCCAGGAACCGGGAACCAGGAACCCATGCCAAGGGGCGGCTGGGGAGTGGAAAGCTGGATCTGGCCCTGGCCGGCTGGGGATCTCTGCTGGGTTAGAGCGTCACCCCAATACTCCAAGGTTGTGGGTCAAGCGCATGCAATGAATGCATAGGTGAGTGGGAACAAATCCATCCCCTCCCGCTCACCCCGCTAAAATCAATAAATGTCAAGAAAGGTAGATCTCATGCCGAACTTCCTCTTTCTGGTGAAGGGGCCAGCTGTCTCCCTAGATCCTGAGGTCATTAATTCACTCAACACGTTTTTCAAAGGCCCTGTATCCAGCCTGTTGACGATGAGGCGCTTGGTGACACAGACGGTCCCTGTAAGAGTGGGACAGGCCATGACCCTGGAGCCAAGGAACATCAGAGGGGACACGGAGCTCACTGAACTGACAGAGTGGGCACTGGGCAGCCCCAGAGGCTCCGAGGGGTGACAGTTTGAGCTGAGACCTACGAGGAGGTGAGCAGGCGCATCGGAGTTCCTCTCCCTCCTCCCCCTCCCCCACCTTCCTCTTTCTCCAAATCGATAAACAAGTCCTCGGGTGAGGATTTGAAAAAGAAGAAGAGGGAAGCCTGTTTCCTGCAGAGAGCACTGCCGGGCGACGGCGCCGCGGCGGCAGTGAGCCGTGCGACAGGTTCTGCAAGGCTTCTCCTAGCTCGATGGGCAACACGGAGTGTGTGCGCGCGCGCAGGGTGTCCCTGGGGCTTTTGGGTCACGTCACCCTGCCCCTGGAGGGCCTGGGGCCACAGTGTGCGCAGGGCAGGGAGGTGCGTGGTCTGGGTGTCCCCGGCCGCCGCGGGGCTGTCCCTGGGCACTGCCGGGAAGGCAGCTTTGCACACTTGGGGCACCTGACCCCAAGATGCCTGCCCCCTGGAGTCTGGCGCTGCTTCCACCCTCTCCCGGCCCCCCAGGGTGGGGGCAGGGTCCCATCCCCCTCTTCTTATTCTGGTTTTGTTATGAAAACTTTTGGAGTCCCCCAGCATCACCCGCTTTGATCTTAAGACCCTTGTTAGGAGGATGGAAAGGGGACCTGAACAGTTCCTGTACCCCCGTAGCCCAGCGCTCTCTGAGGACAGGCCGAAGAACGTGGGTGTTGGGGAGTGGGTCCCAGGGACAGTATTTCAGCATTTCGCCTCGACATGTCCCTCGGCCCCTTCCTGCAGCTGCTTCCAGCTCCACACCTGCTCCCGAGGGTCTCGGTCGGCCCCCTGGGGGCCTTTGCCCCTCCTGGAACAATGCTTGGGAAGGTCCAGGGTCCATCGTGAAATTTTCAGGTATGGAAACAACTGTGCTTTGCTCGTCTGGTCTCACAGGTGCCTGGATGTGTTTCCTGGTGAAGGACGTTCCAGGTGAAGGACAGAGGGTCTCTGCAGGTGCCTGGCGGGTCTCCTCTCAGGCTCCTTCCTCTTCTCATTAGGAGTCCCAGGTGTTGTCCCTCCTTTGATCCGTTCCCAGGTGGCTGGGCCAGTGCCTTGAGGACCGGCTGCGGTCTCCTCGGGTTCCTGGGCCCGGCGAACCTCCTCTGCAGCGGGCGCTCATCCTCCCTGACCGAGCGCATCGTAGAAGATGACTGGATGCCCCACCCGGCCCTGAACTTACTCCCCGGTTTGCAGGAGCCAGAACCCAGCGCCCTGTCCCCGGGCTCCCCACGGCCCTTGGCGCAGCGGGTGGCGCTGCTAGTTTTCACTCGTTGCTCCTCCCGCGTCTGCCGTCTTCTGCCGGTGGGGGGAGGGGGTGGACGGGGACAAGGATGCCGCAGCGGCTGAGGGACAGCTTGTAGCCCAGTGCCGGTGGTGGGGGCCTGCTAGCTCCAGGGTGTCCAGACCACGCGCCACGCGAGGCCCTTCAGCCCTTGAAATGTGGCTCGTGCAACTGAAGAACTGAATTGTCCGTTTTATGCATTAACTTTAATCTGTAATGAAATAGCTCTGCGCACGCAGCAGGTGGCCTAGACTCCCCCCTCAGTCCTCTCGTAAGAGGGGGCGCGTTGCCTAATTTCTCTGTCCCCGCCGTCCCCTCCCTAGCGGATGGGCGTGCTCCCCACGGTGTGTGGTCTGAAGGTGCCTGGACTCGTCCAGCCCGGAAGGGATCAGAGTCAGCTGGATTGTTCACACACCTTGCGGGGCCTGCCCCAGTCTGACCTGGGGCTCGAGAATTGGCGTTTCCCACAAGCGGAGCCTGCCGGTCCAGGAACCACACTTTGGGAAGCACTGGTTATGTGCCCTACAGCACCCAGCACAGAGGAGCTTGGAGGTCTCATTCAAGTGCAGCCACCAGTGTCCCCGAGAACGGCCCCAGGGTCTTTGCCCCTCGCCCCACCTCCCCATGAGATCCTTACCCTTGGAGCCTGGCCCGCGATGACCTCAACGCCCTCCCCCTTCTGCCTGCCCTCAGTCCTGGGCCCCCGCTTCGCCCCCACACGGGCCCTGGGGCAGCCCAGGTCTTGCTTGCCGCCTCATCCCACCCACGAGGAGCGGTCTGTCGCAGTCCTACCCCCCGCCGCCGTGGGCACTGCCGGCACAGAGACGGCGGGCTCAGGCGGCGCCGTGGTGTCCCGGCAACGTGTTACTCCCTCACAACGCAAGGGTGGGCCCGAGACCGCGCCATGTGGCCACTCAGAGACCAGGCCGTGGAGGGTCTGTGTGGACATCACTGTCCGCCCGCCCAGCGGTGGAAGAGGGCAACCCGATGGGCGCTTTGGGTCTGAGACGACACGTGGTCGGGCGGCCACAGGGCCCCCCAAAATTCTGGAGGGGTGGGAAGCGAGGGGTCTTTGCAGGCAGCGGATGTGCCTGCAACAGCGCAGACAGGGTCCCGCGTGCCCCCGCGGCGGGGTCGCAGGTCTGTAACTCCTGGGACTCACACAGAGGCTGTTTCTGGGTCCTTCTGAGGTCACATGAGATCTCGAGTCTCAGGTGAATTCGGGTCAGCGTCACCACCAAGCACCCTGCGCTGGGCTCTCTGTGGGTGACGTGACACCATCGCCGCGGAAGGCGCCGAGTCTCTGTTTCAGAGATTCCACACCTGATCTGAATGCTGCTGCGGGCGCCGCCTTGGCAGGCGGGCGGTCCGGAGTCCGAGTCGGGGGAGGCGGGGGGGCGGAACACCCGCCGGCGGGCGGTGCCCTCCCCTGCCACAGCCCCCGCCCCCCCACGGGCCTCACTCGCCTGTCACCGGCCTGTCTCCACAGGCACTTGTGGCACCTGGATTTCCTTACCGGCCTGTTCGGGTTACCCTTTACACCTCGTTTCAGGTATGTCCACAGAATCTCCCAAAGGACGACTCAGCCTGACCTGAGCCGACCTTGAGAGGCTCAGGCTGGGGACTGTCATTCCAGGCACAGGGGCAAGGCCTCAGCACTGCAGGGCTGCGGCAGGGCTCCTCTCCCCGCCGCCCCGCTCCCAGGCGCCCTCCTTCCCTCCCCCACCCTCAGGGCTCAGCGGGACCCTTTCCGTGCGAGCGGTCTCAGCCCACCTCCACTGGCTTAGGTGGAAGAAAAGGACGTGGCATTCACGTAGCTGACAAGGGGAGACACGGTCACACGAGCTCCAGGCTCGCAGCTGCAGCAGCAGGTCTCACCTGGATGGGCTGGGAGGGGCGGGGGCCACACGAGGACGTGGCCACGCGAG